CTCTCTCTCTCTCTCTCTCTCTCTCTCTCTCTCTCTCTCTCTCTCTCTCTCTCTCTCCCCCCCCCCAATTGTCAATGATTGAGTTCAGTTGTCAATAAATGACGTAATGCATAATGCATTGTGACGAAAGTACATTATAAACAATGTAGCGTTGTATTGTTTCCGCTTCGTGAACTCCGTTTTTCGTATAAGCACCCAACCTCTTTAAAGTAAGACTCGCTATGACATTTGCATTAACCCATCAAACCAAGTGCATATAGCATGACGGGGACCACACATCTTATAACAGTAGCTCACATAAAGACATGCCGCGTGGTCATGTGTAGCGCAAACAAGAATGGAGGATAATCGGAGGTGCAAAAAAGGATGGACCGTACGCTTGGCAACAACGAACTTGACGGAGCATGAGATGGTGACACTCAAACGATTGCCGGTTGATATCGGGAATAAAGACATCATAGCAATCTCGTATAACAAAGACACAAGGGAAGAGCTAACGATGAATGTTAACGGTTTTAGCTTACTAATGGTAGAAAAAAATTGGTTGAATGAGAAGATAGTAAATTTTTATCTTAACCTCGTCCAACTAGACAACGAGTGTCATGTGAAGCATGTAGACTGCGACTCAAATAATGAGAATGTGGTTAGAACAGGAAAGGGGCGCATCCCTAGAATAGCAATTCTCAGCTCGTTTTTTTTTGCCAAACTATTTGATAGCAATATGAAGATCCACTACGATAAGGTTCGCAAATGGTTCACAGAGGTTGTGATTAGCGACATGAATTTGATTATTGCACGTTTCCATGTCTTGCACAACCAACATTGGACACTCCTGGTGGCAGACTTGAGACGCAGGAAATTCGAGTACTACGACTCGCTTACACCGAACAAAGAACTCGCGATGAAGGTAACAGAGGGGGTTCGCAAAATTTTTGTACATGAGATCGATCGAACAAGGTCAAGAGATCGACACCAAATACTTCAACCATATATGGACAGTGGAAGACATTCCAAAGCAACACGACTTCAACGATTGCGGTGTGTTTATGCTCACATATGCATCGCTGTTGGCGAGAGAGTTCCTGCCACCATTCAACTTCACATCAGATGACAGTAAGAAACTACGATACCGGATAGCTTTCGACGCAGCAGTTGTGGAGTAGCCGATTATGAGGCTGTTACATTAGTCGTCCACGCACATGAGAGGAAATGCAGTGACCACAAGTACAGTTGATAACAGAAAAAGACGAGCTTACTAGAGTAAACGGGATAATTGATGCAATTACACAAAAGGTGTAAATGGTTGTACACAAACGGGATAATTGATGCAATTACACAAAAGGTGTAAATGGTTGTACAAAACATTCATCCTTATACCTAACCACTTATCACCTTACCTCTTATCCCACACACCTTACCCCTTACMCCTTACCCCTTACCCCTTACCCCTTACCCCATACCCCCTTACCCCTTACCCCTTATCCCCTACCCCTTACCCCCTACCCCTTACCCCTTACCCCCCCCATTTGTGTCACAAATTAATTCCCACAGAAGATAAAAAAGAGAGAAAATTAGAGTTTTAATTTCGTTCAAAAATAAAAATATGTCCGTTTTGACGAAATCGTTGTTTAGGTTGATCTGCTCAACTAATACGGATGATATGACGGTAGCAGGTAGCCTGATTTCTTAGTATTAGAACTTCCCAATGGAAGCCATGTTTGGGCTAATTCATGTTGTATTGAGCAGGCTTACTAGTTTGGGAAGGGACTAGTCCACAGGGCTTGGCACCCTGTAAGCTTTACTAGTCTCTCTCTTAGAAGTTGTGGAGAATTATAGACTGCAAGGGCAGTTCCTTTTCATGAGCTTCATGGTCAATTTTTTGGCAAGCTTTGGTCTTAGCAATAATAGTTCAAGATCCGGCTCCCAGCAGTCGTTATGGGGAATGATAAGTAGCTGGGAAGGTTCAAGCTTGGTTCATAAGAGAAACTGGTTGATGCTGCCAGGATAACTCCGGGTCGAATTGTGAGGTCCCCGGCCTCAGTTCAATTGATTTTTAAGCAATATACGTGACAACTTTCCAAAAAAAAAAAAAAAAAAGATGAGCATGAGGGTCTGAATGGGGACGGGCGCAGCGACGGGCGCAGGAGCGCTCCGCGGTGCGCTATCGGCTCGGGAGAACCGATGTTGCTGACACCGAGGCGGGCACGCGGCCCGATCGTCGGGGGAATTTGCTGAAGCCCTCCCGACTATGGCCGGGGGAATGGAGGCAAAGCAGCGGCCGGGAGCTGAAAGGAATTTTTCATACAGTCTAATATCGAATATGTGGACGAGGCGTGGCGCCATTTGGCGCGCACGTCATTGATGTGTTACACTTCATTGATGTGTTTTGGCACCCTCCTGTTCGCCGGTTACTACCCTTAATATCATCTCTATCTCCACCATTTAGAAGATATCGTTTACGAGACAGGCTATGCCACAGGAGACCGAAGTTACGACTCACCTTCGACCTCTCGAGCAGCCTTTCCAGTCTTTCCAGGGTCAACATGCTTGTTCTGAAGGAAGGGTAAGTGTCGGACATCAACACCAATAACCAATCTCACGGGCTTTATATGCTTAGTCGACTAACTACACGTTACTCTCTCTGGGTTGCGAATCTCGAACCACAATTGGAAGCGCCTTATACTCCTAAATTTAGGTAGAATGCGAGACTCGAAGAAACTTAAAGGACCATGGGCTAATAAACGTATCCCACGCACGATTGACTGTCAACAATTGGGTAAAACGACAGGAACCCTACCACTGGCAAAACTAAACCATGAGTGCGGCAGCCCCTAACCCACCTCCCCCACAGGGTGAGAGGGGAGACAATAGGGCAGCCCAAGCTGGACCCAGTATGGACGAGGATGACGGACCATGAATCAAAGCCCTATTGGATAAATGTTTCGACGATGGGTTATTCCCCGAATCAAATATAAACGTGGGAGTAACAGAGGTTATTGACGGGGTTGGGTATCTGACGTTGAGCGACGAATTCGATCAGGCCACAGTCAATTGGTTGAAAGGTAGAACGGTAATAGTTATTTTCGATGAACCTGCTACAACCCTTAGCATAAATCAACGAGAACAACTAATTCGGGTCTACGAGGATGCGTGGTATGATGGTATCTTGACCCAACGATCAACCCATCTCAAAAGAGAGGAAGGACGCATGGCGAGGGGCCGAATGTCACTTTGTATGTCGCAAGATCAGAGAGAATTGCAGAATGGTTGGTGATGAAAGGGGAAGACAGGATCCCGAAACGTAATGGGTCAGTAAAAGTTCTCTTTCCATGGACGACCAAACACGAATTGGACACAATACGGGAAAATGAGCTTGCTGGAAAATTCCGGGTGATCGCACTCAGAGTCCCTCTGGAAGCGATGCCTTCACTCCGTTTCACAGTAGAAGGATTCATGGGAAGAGTTTTGACTGTCCACCCACCGGAAAGAAGACCGGAAGAACCACGTTTGGGGAATGTACGGATTGACTGCGCACCTGAAGTCAATGACTCATTTATGGAATGGGTGGTGGTTAGGAAACCGACAGGGGGTTTTCTAGAAGTTCAATTCGCTAATCAGGATTCACCTTTCTGCCAAAAATGTTTATGGTGGTTTCATGATGAATTCGATCCTGAGTGTCCAAAATTTAATGAGCCGATGCCTGAAGGCAGAAGAGCAAGAGGGAGAGGAGGGAGAGGAGCGAGAGGGAGGGGAAGGAACGACGGACTAAATGGGAGAGGAGCTGGAAGGGGTGGAGAGAATAGGGGGAATGGTTAGGCAAGAGGGGGAAACAGGTGAAATGGCCAG